TCTGAGCTTCAAGCTGAAAATATTAGCCTTGACTTCTGTGTGATGTTTTGTGAACATGCTAGTACTTGCTCTTCAAGTTGGAGACACTTAGTTTGAAAAGCAGACGTTTGTCACTGTCCCTCTTTCCTTTTCAAGTAATTCAGCTAAGAAGCTGAATAAAGCAAATTCAGGTAGAGCTGAAAATAGAATCTGGCACTCAGTGCAGTGGAGCACTTTACTTCTTTGGATGAACAGGCTAAATCCATTGGCTTAGATAGCTCATTTATAATCACTGTTGTAAACACCAGAATCCGGTCTTGAATCATAAATACAGCCCAAGAATCTTAATTGTTAGTTTTCTATAGCTCTTAATGTCTGACACACTAGGAAATGTGTAATGGGGTAGGTTAATGATAGATTAGGATAAAAGACAGCATTTCATCTGCATGTCCTGCATAATGCACTGCTTTATGGTTGCTGCTGTTTCTTCTCCTCATCTTTGAGAGAAAGAAAACAAGCACAAAACAAGCAAAGCTTGGCTTTCAAGTTAGATTTTGTAGTTAGCTGTGATTGCAATCATGATGCACAGAAAATCTCATGTGTTCTTTTCTCTTTTTTTTTTTGGTCATTAATCTCTTATTTTGCCCTGCAATTGCAGTTATAAAATTTGGAAGATTGAGGGTTGTAAATAACAGAAACCTCACAGATACACACTGAGTTCAGTTTCTCCGGTTGTAAATTGTCAATAGCAACCTATATCAGAAGAATATAGGCCCAGGAATTCAAAGGTGTTTTTTTTTTTTTTTTGTTTTTGTTTTTTTTTGTTTTTTTTTTGTTTTTTTTTGTCTGGTATGCTGTTCAAAAATAAGAGCTCCAGATCTTGTTTGTTTACTCATTGCTGCAGAAGGGAGATCCAGTGTAGCTTTTCTATTAGATGATACTTGTTTGACTTTAAAGGTATCTTATTGCCAAAGACGTGCACTTTCTTCTGTAAATTTACTGTGCGTTTTACTTGGGAGTTGCCTGAAGTATTGTGACCTGATGGGCATCCTGTGAATCTAGAGAAACGGACAGAAAGCTGTTACTCTAGTATTTTCTTGCTCATGTTTGTTTGGAACTAGGATGACACCATGTGGCTCTAGCTGCATGTCCTTGTGCAGCATCCACTGCAAGGAAGCTGTAGTGTCTAATAGCCATCTCTGTGGTGAGTGAAAGCAGCCAATCTGCTCTAATGTCTTAACTGACCTTAGGGATGAGATAGATGTGGTTTGCTGTGCTGGGCTTGTACAGGTGAGCCATGCTATACTTGAACTCGGAAGTTTTCAATCCTGATGCTTTAATTCACAATCTTTGTAAAATGTTCACAAGTGATGAGGAGTTATATTTGAATTGGTACAATAACTTTTTAAGTTGCCCTGAAAATAAATTTAAAGGTGGATATGTTTTATGTAAATAAAGTACTGTAACAGAGAAAGTGTTCTTGAAACTGTGTGAACCCCCTATTTCTTTTGAATCTTTTTTTTTTTTTTTTTTTTTTTTACAACTAGAGCAGGAAGAATATCTGTCTTTAGAATCTTTAAAAATGTATTAATATATTAATATTAAAATATATATTTTAATATATTAAGTCAAGATTCCTTATGGAGGAAACAACCTGTCTCAGTTATTTCGATGTCAGTAGAAATGGTATGTGAGCAATTAATAGAATGAGTAAAACTATGTTGCTGGGTATTCCATGCATTCCATCTTGTTGAAGACTGTTGTGAAATAATAATAAAAAGATAATCTGTGTCCCTGATTAGAAGGGCTCCACAAGGTGTAAAAGAACATCCAAGAGGAAAACTCTTCAAATGTTTTTTAAAACTCCATGCGCCTTTGTTGCTTAGCGTAGAAAACCTGCAGAGTCTGCATAATGAAGCTCTTATATAGATGAGATACAGTGCTGTGGGATTATTGGTCTTTTCTCTTTTTTTATTTTATGGAATTTGGAGAAATAGTTATGTGCTCTACATACAAAAGTGCCTATAAGAAACAACTTTGGAAAGTAGATGCAGCTTCAGGTGGTGGGATCACATAGTATCATCTTTGTCACAGCAATAAGGAAGTAGTATCTGTTTTGAAAATCGTATGTTTAAAATGCTCTAATTTACAATTTGCCCTCAGACTTTAAACCATGTTGCTCTTGTTTTCAAACATACCTTTGTAATCAATAGAGCTATCTATTACATCGCAGATCCTGGGACTTTTAAAAGATGTTTTGTAAAAGTTATGAAGAAACTGAAGTGGAATCCAATAATGGAAGATAGTAATGGAGGCAGACTTTGTTAGTACTATTCAAATCTGTTCAGGTTGAGAGAAAGTGGTCAAAATACAGGAATCTGGAAGTAATTTGAGTGCACTAAAACTATGGCTGTGACTGCAAATGGATTTGTATTGAATGAATGGCAATTTGGGGGAGTATCAATGTGCAAAAACAAGTTTCCACTCTTCCCAGTTCTGAATGACTTTCCCACTTTTGCATGTGGCAGACATGCTGAAGTAAGCAGGAATTTATGAAAACTGGCAACTTAAGGAAAGGCCACCTCTTTCGCAGTTTGGAAGAAAATACAATTGATCGCTGTAGTAGCAGACACTGCTACTCCCCTGCAGATGTTGTCCGACTGTTAGTGAATCTGTCAGAGCATCCTGGCAAAGAAGAGGATAAGGATATGATTTTCTCTTTTTCCTGGCATTTTCTGTCCTTCAGTGGAACATCTTAAATATCGACATCAGCCTCCAAATTTAAAAGACATTAATATTTAATGTGCAAAACACTGTAATTCCAGGAATGACAATATAGAAGTGAAGTTCCACTGATCTGTAAGAAAGGTGATGATCACAACTCTAAATATGACTATACAAGAGGAGACCTCTGTTCAGCTCATTTGTTGCCTTAGAGCAAGTCAAGATAATACTTGGTTTTACATTTTATACAATTTGTCTTTTGTCACCAGAATTAAAAAGAATGGAGACTATTATCTTCTACTTTGTGCCTTAGCCCAAATGCCCCAGGTTATATGATTACTATCTATTTTTTCCTCTAAAGTTCATATCTCATATGTATTACTGGTCTGGTTTTGGTACTGCACATATTCGTGTACTAAGCCTGTTGGAAAAGAATAGTCTGAAATCTTTAGGATAAGAGTCTCAAAAGGCAGTAAAGTTGGGCAGGAAAATGGATACTTTTCTTGGAGTTGGTGTTTTCATTCCTTTTTTTCTTTGTGTTGCAAATCTGTTCTTATTCTTTGCTCCTTCTGAAGAAAATCTACTGAACCCTTTCTCTTGAATTTGTGCTACCCTTTCTTTTGACTATTTCTCTGTTATTACTATGCTTCTGTCTCTTCCATGAGAGTGTAGAGTAATAGAAAAACTCAATCTTGGCAGGGATCACAGAGTCCAGGTGAAGAACTCCCCAGGCAGGCTGTATTAGTTTAGGCACAGTACCGAGTGGTGTTACTCCACGGTGTGAACTGTTCAGTCAACATATTTGCTAATACTGTGTAGAATGTAATTGTGGAGAGGGTCACAGGTGATGTCTGTCAGGTCAGTACCTCTCTTTATGATGAGATGTGGGTATATCTCATGTTTGCATCTGTTGACTTATGCACTGTCTATGGACTTAGCCATGTCTTTTTGTGTGTGTTGACATAAAGAGCTGTTGGGAGCCTCTTCACATTAAGTGAAATATGTAGTTGTGGTTCAGCTCTGAAACTAGCTACATTTAACACACAAACTAGCTACATTTAACACACTGAATTTTTATGTGGATGCTGAGAACTTCAAAAAAAATTATTATTTTTTAATGTAGATGTGGGTAGTTGACTTAGTAATTAAACTCTGCATATAATTATTTAATGCTTTTTTATTCTCTCCCTTGTGGTTGGCAATTATCACAGACCTGACAAATTATGTTTCTACTGATGGTGCATCTGTTTTTTATTTTCTTTGCTCTGCTTGCTTTGCTGCTGGGTTTACTGGTAGATATCAATCTGACTCCAGCACAGACTTGTGAGCTGTCTGAATTTTCAGTACAAGAAGTTTTTGACACAGCTTATTATATCACTGTTTTTGTGCAGCAGTTTCTTCTAATGGGTATGCAAGGACACTGTGTACTCAAATGCTGTTTTACTTGCTTTTATACAGATTATTATTATTTTTTCCTTCTGTTACGCATTATTACTACTTCTAATAGAATTCCCCTAAATAATCACTAAAATAATGCTACAAAATTCTCAACAGTTCTTTCCCATTTGAAATGTATAATTTATCTCTTAATTAATATATCTGAATGTTAGTATGTGAACGTTTTCTGCCAGTGAATTGCAAAAGTGAATGATTTTTTTTTTTTTTAGCATAGGGATTAATTTTACTCACACATCCATATAGTGATTCTATTGGTTATTGGTATCTTACCTCATTTAAAAAAAAAAACAAAAAAAAACAAAAAAAAAACCCTAAAAGTATACTAAATATACTAAAATATACTAAATAAATATACTAAAAATAATGTAGTTGTAAAAAGCAGTACTTTTAATGATCTTCTGTGGTAAGTATGAAAGGAATCAAAAAATTATTTCTTCTGAGAAGACATTTTTTTGTATTAAATAAGGTGCTGGTTTTCTGTAGGAGATGATACCTTATATACATCATAATCCTGAGCTTAAAGGTATTGTGTATGGGAATGCTTTGGAAATGATTTCCAAGCTGATTTCCAAGGTGATCTTGGCATGGGAACTTCCAACGTTTTTGAGGTAGTGAGCTTGTTATGTTAATAACCTCTTTTTTTTTTTTTTTTTTTTTTCTCCTGACACATTTAGATGAAACATACCATTGAATTTTGTTGTGCTAAAGGAACAGATATCTTTGATTTATAATCCTGTAGGATACTAACTTGTTACTGCAACTTCTTTGAAATTAAGTTTTTCGTCTTTCCCCTCTTTTGTTGTGTTTATGTGCTTATTTATTTATTTATTTATTTTCAGATATGATTCTGGACCAGCAGGTGGGCTCTGGGCAGCTCAGTGAGGATGTTCGTCATAGAGTACATGAGGCATTACTGAAACAGCATCACCATCAGAACCAGAAGAAACTGAGCAATAGGATCCCAATTGTGAGATCCTTTGCTGATATAGGAAAGAAGCAATCTGAGCCACATTCCATGGATAAAAATGGTAATGTATTACTTTATTTTGCATTTTGAACTATCAGTAAAATCTACCTGTACAGTGTTGCTTGTGCTTTGTACCCAGAGTTTGAACTTCAGTGATCATGCTCTGCAAAGTTCCTGTGTAAAAATAGAACCTTTCATATGCGAGAGTGGTTCCTCTTATACATTTAGTAACACGCTTGTTTAACTTTGAAATTCAAATATCTGGAACAACTCAGTGCTGTGCAGAGATGTCCAGCTGAACTAGTTCAAGTGTTGCAGGCAGGTTAGCTTTGTCAGTGTGTCATTCTGTAATTGGTGTGGGATGTTGTTCCCAGTGCAGGACTGCTTGAGTACATGCTTGACGCCATATGCAGTGCATTTCAGATTTCATAGTTGACTTTGCAGGGTTAAATTGAGAAAATTATTTTCAAGACAGTGTTGGGGAGAGAACATGAGCTGTACCTAATTCCTTCAGAAAATCAGTAATTGGAAAATTATGCTTATGAAAGCATTGAATGAGCAAGTCTGCAGACTGGTTTGACAGGAAAATATTTGTTTTTTTCTTACTTTTTATAGAAGCCTTTATAAGCTTATTGTTATGCATAACTGTAGTGAAAATATTTTCTTATTGCCTCTTATTTACGTAAAAACAAGCACATCTAATTAAACTTGCAGATATTTACAATTAACTCACTGGCATTATCCGCTACAGTATTACTGATCCTCCATATCCAGTATCATCACAATACCCAGACATTTTAGTCTGAGCACCACTGGATGGTAATTAGTGACTTTCGTTCCAGAAGTTGCCTTGGTTGTAGTGAATTCTTAGTCCATCCTACTGTGTCTCTGTTCAGGACTCTACTGAGCTCACCTGCAACCTGGGGTGGGGGGGGGGGAGGATGAGGAAACAGCCAAGCACAGAGAAGTTGTAGGATGAAAGAAGAATGTGTATGCTGTGAGGTGTAGGATGGAAGGAGACTGAGAGTACTGTAATGAGTTTTGGTCTGGAAACTTGAGATTGTCTATACAGAGATAAGATTACTTTTGGTTTCAGGGACAGTTTACTAGTTTCACTTGCTGCTGTGTAAAGATTCTAATAGGTACTTCTAAATCTATCTGCTTCCATGAGGAATGCTGTAAGACCTGAAAGAAAATGTACAATTTCATCTGAAGAGGTATTAAATAGAATTGTACTGATCATGTCAAAATATCATTTCAAGAGTAAGAGAAATTTTTTTTAAGATTTGAGTTTTTGTATGTATGTATGCACAGAAGCAGTAAAGATATGTTGGATGATTACCCATCTTTAAAGCAACTTTCAAAACAAAACTTTCCTATTTATTTTATTCAGCTTTTGCTGATGGTCTTAAACAAATATTCATTAATAACTGTAAAGAAATGCAATCCTATTTCTCATAATCCATGGGAGAAAAGATGGAAGCTTGCAATCCTCAAACTTTCTGTAGTAATTTTTATATGAAAATATGCAATAGATCTCCTTAAAAAGACCCCTCAGGTCAAACCGTGAAAACATCATAAGCTCAATTTCACTAACTCTTTCTATATTAGTGGACCTGATGCATGCAGCAATTCACTCCAAAAACTTCTCAATTTTAACTGCTTTTTTTTTTTTTTTTTTGTGTGTGTGTGTGTGTGTGTGTGTGTGTATCTGAACCTTAGATCTCTATTTAATTCTCAAAGAAATAGATTCTGATCAGAATCAGTGTAGCATGTTAAAAAACTAGTTTAATATACTCAACAGTTAAGTGATTCTATAAGTAGGGATTTTTATTACAGGTTTCCATTTGTTTGTCTTTATTGTGCAAGATTAAAAACTACAATTCCTGTTCATGTGCTTTTGTATATGTCCCTCAGGACTTCTGGTTCAAAAAGTCACCTGCTTACGTTATGTTATTTACATTAAGATTAAAAAAAATAATAAAAATACAACAAAACAAATCTAAACGATCGTAGGTACATTTATACAGGATAATTCAGCCTTTTATCTAAATTACAGTAGAGCTTTCCAAAAAGGGTCTTTTTGGATACAGATGTCTTTTAATCAGTTTGAAGTGCTGCTCTTCTGCTTGCATTCCATAAATGCTACTGCACATTAGGGACTCTCTTGTATTGACCTCTTCAAAATAGATGATGACCCTAGGATAAAATAAAGAAGGGCTGATTTATTCTAAGTTTCTATTTTTTTATCCATTGATCTATTAAAAATTTGTAATCTTATTTTATTATCTGAGTTGTAAATATTATGCTAATTTTAGTACAAAATAAATCTCCAGTCTAAATTTTTGGTTTTCCAAACATAATCTTTTTTTTCTCTTCAAGACAACTGGAGATAAGCATCTCATGGGCTTTAAGACATTGTTAATTATATCTCTGGTGTGGATAACCTACCACAATAAATGGCGTGTAAATTATGCAGACGTTATGCTGAGATGCTCATCTTTCAGGAGCTTTGCTGTCATTAGAAACATCAAGAGCAGGAATTGAGTCTTGTGACCATTTTCTCTTGCCATTGCCTCATGATCCAAATGCTAGAGTTCAGCTACAGTATTATACTCACTGCAGCAACATATTTCTTTTCTGATTACTGTGGAACATGTGTACAAGCTTCTCTTAATGATACAAAAATGAGTTGTTACAATACAACTCTGGGTCAGGTGAAGGTAAGAAAAATGAGCTAAATATGTAAATAAATTGAAAAAAGCAAAATTGAGAGTTATAAACATCTAATGCTATTGTTTGTTAGTTACACTCTGAGACACCTTTTTGTTTCCTGAGAACAAACTGGTACAATCCAATCAAGGCATAATTTTCACCTATTAATACCCATTTGTGCACAAATATTGTGTAGAATGTTTGTTCAAAAGAAAATATTTCATGTATTGTCAACAGTAGTGGTACTGTTCCCTCTCCTTATTATTAAAGATATAGAGAGAGAATACGTGCAGCCCAGAATATATAGAGAGATGAACATACAGCCCAGAGATGCGTTTACCCTTAAGAAGGACCACTTAATTTTTCCATGTTCAGATGAGTTCAGAGTAAGTTACTGTTTATGGCTGTAAGGAGATTCTCAGTTTGGTTAATTTTATTTTTAGTGTTGACAGGTTAGCTGATAACAGTCCTCAGCAGCCTGTAGTTTGTGAAATAAATGATTCAGAGGAGTTGCCATGTAGACTATGTGGTACAGCTGAAGGTGCAAAACCCCTTCTTTATCCAGGTTCCTTACCCATGGTAGTTTATCAGTGCTTCCATTTTCAGACACTCCAGAATGAAATCTGAAATGAAGACATGATCTTAAATTCCATACGTGGTTGTGCTGCTGTCAGTCCACTGTGATATCTTTGCTGAAAGTTGGTTGTACATATGTACTCCCCCCCCTTTTTTTTTTTCTTTCTTAAATAGTGTGTCAGACCATCTAGTTAATTTGCTTTGTATTGAGTAGTATTATCTTTTGTTTACAATGGCTTTTCTTCACATCCTCTGCAGGGGTAAGATGTCAGAGTGCTATGCATTTACCATGCATTTTTAATGCTACCATGCTGTGTTTAACTTTCACTTTTTCATTAAGCATCAAAACTGTGAGAGTTAAAAGCCTGCTTTTGATGTTCCAATAAAAAGTGACAGTCAAATTTGGCATAAGAGCAGCAAAAATATATTTCTTTTCAAGTCTAATTTGACACCAAATACCCCTAAATAGAGGGTTGCAGTAATTTTAGCATAAATACTCTAAAAGGTAGGTTAAAAGTAGGAATCTTTGTCATCGTTAAACCTATAGGAAGTTTGACTTGAAAAACAATTTAACCTATTTTTATGGGGATTAATAGGGTTTTTACTCTGGTATCTGGAAAAGCAAAAGACCATTGCAAATTTAGAACACTTTTCTACTAGTACCACAGGAATGCTAAAATAATTTCATAAGTCTCTCCACTTCTCTAAAATGTTCTACAATTCAGAATTTAAGCAAATGAAGTATGGGAAAGTAGCAGATTCAATGAAAATTAAGCTAAGAAAAGCAATTCTCATGATGCACACATTTCCATTACTTTAATAAGCTATTTCATTTTTAATATAGGTTTCAGAGTCCATGTGTGTGTATACATATGTGATGGGATCTAGCAGAACTTTTACTGATTAAAGTTGAAGAAATGAGAAGATATGGCAGGATTAATGACTTGCAAATTGTTTCCATGCACATTGTTGAAGTGTTCATTATCCATAATTGCATGATCTTTTGCATGTTTTCTGTTCCATATACATGCCAACTATAACTGCTGCTTCTTCTTTAGCATCTGAACAAACTATTAGTGCAAAAACTCTGTTATACCACGCATTGTGTTTGATTTTGAGAAATTTTGAAATTCTAAGTTGTTTATTGAACTGCCAAGGAGCTTGAAGAAATCAGTGGCATGTTAAATTTAGGGTCTTCAGAATTAACTGAACAAGTTGCTGGAGCAATTTACTTTGACAGGTTCTTTTTCAAGCATTATTCAAGTTAGTTTGGTTGGTATGTTTGGTTAATTTGGACTTTGTTGTTTGTGTGAATATGAGCATATACAGAGTCATGTAAGTCTATGCTTGGCATGTGATTAAGAAGAGTATCCAAGTAAGTCTAAATTACCAGTTCTCCAATGGTGTTCTTCACTCTACTCAATTTTTATGCCAGTGATAGCTTACAGCATGTGAAATTTAGATGATATCAGTAGTACTATATGGAGACAGAGGGGCATTACTTGGAGCCCCCTGAAAAGGGACATTTCTAGGTATGTGACCTTCATTTTAGGAGCTGGTCACAGTGAATGCTATATGTATAACAGATTTCTACCAGTGGTGATTTTGGACCATATGAGTTCCTCCTGCTTTCCTTGCAGTGCAGGCAGGTCCACTGTTAGTTAATACTAGCTCAAACTATCTAGTACTGTGTTTCTTTATATGCTTTTTGAATGTATGTATTTTAATCAAAAATATATTATCCACAGATTTTTATATCACTAAAATATA